TGGCTCACAACTGCCCATGGGGACGGGATCCCCTCTTGTGGCCTCCATGGGTGCTACACACACACAAGCACATAATACAAATAGCACACACATACATAGATTATTAAAAATAAAATAAAATAAAATTTAAAAATGATTTTATTTACTTTTTTTGTTGTTGTTGTTGAGACAGGGTTCCATTGTGTAGCTCTGGCTGTCCTGGAACTCCCTCTGCAGAGTAGTCTGGACTCAAATTCATAGAGAGATCTGTCTGTCTCTGCCTCTAGAGTACTGGTATTAAGGATGTGTGCCTCTATGCCTGTCTTTAGAAAAAAAAAAAAAACAACTGAATTTTAAACCAGATGTAGTGGTAGATACTGACCAACATGGAGGCAGGTGGGGAAGGTCAGGAGTTCAAAGTCATCCAAAGATTGTGAATTCTTGCCAGGCAGTGGAGGCACACATCTTTAATCCCAGCATCCTGGAGGTAGAGGCAGGCAGATCTCTGTGAGTTCAACTCCAGCCTGGTCTACAGAGTGAGTTCCAGGACAGCCAGGGCTACACAGAGAAACCCTGTCTCAAAAATCAAAACCAAACAAACAAAAGAAAAAAACCTGTGGATTCTTTTCTTAAAATAACTGTGCTTCCCAGCTTAGAGGATGGGGAGGTGGCAGCAGTGGGATGACAGTTTATCACTCTTTATGATATCCACAGGTTACAGGCCAAAGCCTGGATGCATTTGTTAACCATCCTGCCAATTTGGGAGACATAAAAAACAAACAAAACAAACAAACAAAACCTGGTTCCTTTTTGAAAGGCTGTAGTTACCTTTCATCATATGACTGGTCATCTCTCAACACATTCGATGGCTTCTCTTGGGGCCAAGTAAATAAACCTTGAGCATGGCATCCAGGATCTTTTTTTTTTTTTTTTTTTTTTTTGAGACAGGGTTTTTCTGTGGCTTTGGAGGCTGTCCTGGAACTAGCTCTTATAGACCAGGCTGGTCTCGAACTCACAGAGATCCCCCTGCCTCTGCCTCCCGAGTGCTGGGATTAAAGATGTGCGCCACCACCACCTGGCTCAGGGTCTGTTTTTTAAAATAACTTTTGGCAGTGCTGAGATGGGACCCGGGGCCCTGTGAGTCCCGGTTAAGTGCATAATGGCTGAGCTGCCACCCCAGCTGGCCTGTGCCATCCCTGCAGCTTGGTCCTCACTATGTCTTTCAATTGACTGCCTGGCACCTGCCTATTGATCAAGCTCTTCATCGAGGCCCCTCACCCTGTGGTTTCCTGACACAGTTCCTCTAACTTACACCACCCTGTCATTTCAGCCCAATCAGAATGTCAGCACCTCAGGCTAGGGTGTAACTCAGTGGTCAAGGGCTTGCCTAGCCTGTATGAGGTCCCGGATTTGATCTTCAGCCTCCTACATCCACTCCTAAACAGAGTCAAAAACCAAACTCCAAACTAAAAAACAAAATCCCATCATTTCTCAGCCCAGTCATGCTGAGCCTCACCGAGCCTCTCCCTATAACCCAGTCGGAAGGGTTTCTTCCTCTTCCTCCCACACATGGCCTCAGTCCATTACGACATGGCCCTGCATGCCAGCTGTGCACATACTGCCCTACAGTTGTGGGGTCAGAGGACACCAGGTGCTGCAATCATACCTGCCCCTGCTCCCCAGCACTGGGACCCACTGAACCCCTAGACCTAGACTCCCAGGCTGAGTTCTTTGTGTGTGTGTTTGTGTGTGTTTGTGTGTGTTTGTGTGTGTGTGTGTGTGTCTGTGTAGAGGTCAAATGACCACCCCAGGTATTATTCCTCATGTGCCATTCAACCTTGTTTTCCGGACAGCCTCTCACTGACTCAGAGCTTGCCAACTATGCTAGGCTGGCTGGCCAGCAAGTCCCAGGGATCTTCCTGATTCCATCTCCACAGCACTGGGATTACAAGTGTGTGCCACTATGCTTGGCATTTGCTAAAAGTGTGTTTCAGGGAACTCAGGTTCTCTCTCATGTGAGCATAAGCTCATCTCCTGTCCACCAACTGTACAGGTCCATGCCCTCATTGCATTTACCATTCTGTAATTCTGGTCATTTTTTTTTTTTTAATTATTGGCTGTGGAATCCAGCACTAAACTACACCCTTGAGTTCTTGTTTTTCAACGGAGTATTATTATGTAACTCAGGGAGCCTTGGAACTATATAGCTCAGGCTGATTTTGAATTATCTTTTGAGCGCTGGATTACAGGTTCGAGCCATATTTTGGCAGTCATGCAACCCCATCTTCATTTCCCATAATTGGGACAACTGAGGCACCTGCTTTGGGACTGGCACTCCCTCTGTTGTCAGCTGCCTTTGACTGAACAGATGAAGGCTTGCAAGAGTGACAGCTATTTAGTCTGACCCAGAGTTTAAGGACAACACATTTGAATTCTCTGGGTGAAGCAAGTACCCTGCTTCACTCCCATCTATTTTTTTTTTTTTGTATCTATGGATTCTCAGATATGTTTTCATACTCTCTCAAATTTTGTTCTATGGAGAGAAAGGCTCATGTGTCCTATGCTGGCCTGGCTAGCTTTTTAAGTCTTATTTATTTTTGAGACAGGGTATCATTATGTAGCTCAGATTGGCCTTGAATTCACAGAGCTCCACCTGCTTCTGCCTCCCCACTGCTGGGATTAGAGTGTGCTACTGTCTGGCCTGTAATAATAACAACAGTAAATAAGATTCTGAAATTGTGTCAGCCCCTCTGCACTGTGTAATCCCAGGGTGTGATGTCTACAGGCTCTCGGGGTGCATTCTACAACTCTATACACAGTAGGCTAGCCCAAACTTCAAAAGCTGAGGGTACTTCCACAGTCATCTTTTTTTTGTTTTGTTTTGTTTTTCGAGACGGGGTTTCCTGTGGCTTTGGAGGCTGTCCTGGAACTAGCTCTTGTAGACCAGGCTGGTCTCGAACTTGCAGAGATCTATCTGCCTCTGCCTCCCGAGTGCTGGAATTAAAGGCGTGCGCCACCAACGCCCAGCTTCCACAGTCATCTTTAACGCTGTCACAAAAGGTATCCCTTCCTGTCACAAGACCCAGGGTGTGATGCTGTTAGCTCACAGGTAGACAGGAGATACAGAGCTAGGAATGAAGACAAAGTCATCCACCTGTTGGGTGTCCTGTGTTCAGAACTTCTGCATCGCTAGAATTTCTGAGCTATGGCCAAAGTCCTAGAGAAAATTACTGTCTCTGGAGCCATTGAGATGGCTCAGTGGGTACAGGCACCAGCTACTAGACCTTATGATCTGAGTTTGATACCTACAAACATGTGATAGGAGAGCATAAACTCCCCCAAATTTTCTTCTGATCTCTGTGTGTGCCATTGTGTAAGCACACAATGTTAGAAAAAACAAACAAAACCCAAAAGGCAAATCACATTCTGGGGCTGGGATGTGACTTTGATTGAGTGCTTGCCCAGAAGAAGGTATCTTCTATCTCCAGCTCCACAGAGAAATAATGACTTCTTTAACAAAATCACAGCTGGGATGAGACTGGATAACAACTCTAAATTTTGAATGCCGGATGTCAGTTTCCACCTATTATACTAACTTTAACAAAGCTTTGAAATGATGGCAGACATTGTTCTGCCCATTTTGGGATCATTAGATGCTGAGTTGGGATGTTACTGCTTGAATGCTCCTCTCCAAAATCTGAAGGTAGGTGTGTGTGTGTGTGTGTGTGTGTGTGTGTGTGTGTGTGTGTGTGTGTGTGTGTGTGTGTGTGTGTTTGTGTGTGTACATATGCACGTGGAGGCCAGAGATCAATTTCAGGTGTCTTCATCAGTAACCCCTCCCCCACTTTTTTGTGTTTTTTCACGACAGGATTTCTTCTCCATGTAACCCTGGCTGTCCTGCTGGAACTTATTCTGTAGACCAGGCCAGCCTTGAACTCAGAGATCTTCCTGCTTCTGCCTCTCAAGTGCTGGGGTTAAAGGCATGCACCACCACTGCCTAGCTTTTCCACTTATTTATTTTTGAGATATTGTACAATGGCTTATCTTGGTTGTCAACTTGACTACATCTACAATCAACCAAAACCTAAACAGCTAGGACACCTGTGAGGAGGAAGTTTGCTTGAATGGACCATTTGTGGTAGGAAGACTCACCCTAAATGTGGGTCACAATTTCTGACTGCAGCCCACATGAAAGCACATGTAAGAAGGAAGCTTTTGCTTTTCGCCTACTTGCCCTTACTCTGGCAAGTTCATTCATCCTGCTGCTGAGATATCCCTTCACTGGTATTAGAACCTACACAGTGGGGCTGGAGAGATGGCTCAGAGCGTATATATGACATTTTTTTTTTTTTTTAAAGAACCTACATAGGGATTTCAATGTATAAAGACCATCTGAGACATCCAGCCTTGTGGACTGAACAGCTACTGGATTCTTGGCCTGTCAATGATGGCCACTGTTGGATTAGCTGGACCACAGCCTGTAAACCACTCTAATCAATCAATCAATCAATCAATCAATCAATCAATCAATCAATGCATATATATATATATATATATATATATATATATATATATATATATTTATGTTCTGTTCCTCTAGAGAACCTTAATACACAGAGTCTCTCACTAAACCTGGAGATCATAAATTTGGAGAGCCTTGGCCAGGAATCTGGCCATCTTCCTTTCTCTAGCACACCTGACATCTACATGGGGATGGGGACCCAAACACAGGTCCTCATGCTTGTGCAGCAAGCATTTACCAGCTGAACCATTTCCCCAGCTCTTGAAACACAGTCTTAACTACCAGTATAAAGGGATCATGGGGAAGCACCAACTTGCAACGTCTGTTAGGTTCATGGAGCTGTGACAACTTCCTGTTTGCCAGTTATAGTTTCAAGATACTAGTGTGATAATCTCTCTTCCTCCCTCTCTCCTACCCAACCCACAACCAAAACTTCCAGACTGACGGACCTGCCACTGGAAATAGGACATGCCCAAAGAACGAACAAAACAAGCCCAGGTCAACTGGCAGGTTTCTAGCTGAGGTCTTTATTTTCATTTTATGTACAGCAAAGGTGCTGCTGACACTCCACAGCAGCCAGACAACATAACTGAATTCTCTCTCAACAATCAGCAGCTGAAGATCGAGCAACTACAGTGTTAATGTTCACGCTTTCACAAGTATCATCTCTTTACTCTGCAATTCGTGCACGTGAATTTTTAGTCTTACACACTTGTATAAAACACACTTATGGTCTAGTAGTCAGCCCCTTTTGAGGGTATTACCTAGCATACACAACACACAGAAATGTTCAACTTGTAGAGCCACATTCAAAATCCCAGTTTTATTGGGGGTGGTGTGGGAACTATCACTTCGCCTATGCTGGCTTGTTGATGACTGCATTTGGTTTTGTTTGAGATGCTTATTTTCCAAGGCTGGAACACTAGAGCTCACTTGGAATCCAGCAGTCACTGACTACCTTAGAATACAAGCTCAGAAACATAACCAAAGGCAGTGAAAACCATGCCCACTGTCAGACATGACCGTCGAGGAAGGCTTTATCCTCCTTTATGCCAGTTGGGATGGGGCTAAAGCAGCACTGTCAGCGATGGGTCCAACTGCACCTCTTAAGGAGTAAAAAGCCTTCCTTGCCAGGATGCACTGATCACACCAAGGACCTGAAACTGGAGCAGACAGCCATCAACAATGCAGAGTGATGGCCAACTCTACAACTGCAACAGTCACCGGGGCCAACAGAGCCAGTCTCACTCACCCCGGTGGAGGCACCGGCATGGACAAGGGAATCAAGGAATGCTTCACTTTAGCGGGAATTTTTTATTTTTGAAAATTTTTACTTTTTTTAAGGAGAAGCAGCATTAAATTATGGGCAAGCTTGTCTTAGATCAAGTGCTAAACCATCAGAGCAAGGCTATTGAAGGACTGTGGACAGAAAAGAGGATGCAAGGACAGCCACAATTCCAAGAAACTCAAAGGCAACAGGGATGGGCAGCAAAAAGACAGCACTGAGTGCAGGCACCTGCAGGTCTGGTGAGTGAGCAGGGGTAAGACAGCAACAAGTCATGACAGGGCCTGTCCTAAACTGAAGGTTCTCCCCAAGACAGTCTGCTAGAGGAAGATGGAGACTCAGTGCGGGTCTATCTGTCTGAAGTTCCAAACTCTTCCTTCAATAGAAACTGCCATCAGAAAATTAGACACAATTTCAGTTTATCCTTTACAGTGACGTTTGGGGGCCACCTGTGGGACTGCTAAGAGAAGCCAGTGGGTTACCACTGGATCATCTCTCCCATAGCCCTATGGGGCTCTCTTCTGTACCAGAGCAACTAAATTACAGCAGCTACTGCTAGTCCAGCAAGGTCAAAGTGTCCTGTGGCACTCTTGCCTGAAGCTGCTCCAGTATTTTCAGGCAAAGTTAACCTTCTAAACATAGGCTTGGGGACCATTTGTTTTGTCATGAATATGTATTGGTTTTAATTTTTTTTTGGGGGGTCCCTGCTGTAGGTGCTCATTATGAGGTGAATAATAACCATCTGGGGATGGAGTGAAGACTGGATACCTGAGTTAAAACATCAAAGTGAGAAGGCCATCTGGCCAAACAAAAGGAGGCTGCAATTGTTATGTAAACCACACTTTCCAACAGACTGGGCATTGCTACCCTAGTTCTGAAAGAAGGTCCTGGTGTGGAGACATAGGCAAAAAACATATTTCGCTTCTCTGTACAAAGTTCCTTTCCTTTGCATCATGTGGGCACACAGGAAGAGGCCATTGGAAGTGGCACTTGTGACCTCCAATAATATGAGATTAATCAGGCCCTCCATTTTGCTCTGAAGGTTGATTAAGTTTCCACCTGGGTGAGGGAACTGGCTGTGGGATGGGGACCAAGCTCAGCGCCTCTTCCTAAAGTATCCCAAAGAGCCACTGAGCAGTTAGATTAGTGAGTCAGTCTGGGTTCATTGGAAGCTTGCAACAGTCTGCACCCAGAACTTGGGTCTTTGTAGCCTGAAATTTCCTTTTCTGCTTCTTGGAAGAACCACCTTCAATGGATCCTCTTGGCAGACAGAATAAAGCTTTGAAGTTAGGGATGCAGAGGCCAAATGCAGACAACAAGACTCCACATCACTTTGGTTTTGGTAATTAGGGGTGTTAAACAATAAATTAAGCAAACACAAGGAGTTATTAATGTCTCTCATAACATAGTAGCTTTTTTTTTTTCCCCCCTAAAGAGAATCCCAGCCCAAAGTCACTGGGTGAATATATACTTGAGGGGGAAAACAAAATCCAGTCCTACCACACTATTCTGTTGAGATAACATCCCCTCTTCCTACAAACCCCTCACCACTCCAACCAAGCCAAGCCAGAGATATGGTGCTGTGTGTGTAGTAGACATCAGAGAGCTGGGGTAGCCACAGGGTGGCAAAGGGCAGCACGCTGAAATATCCACACAGCTTCATTTGAAAACATCACCGCTTTATTTCAAAGGAAAAAAAAAAAAAAAGACTCTCCCAACCCAACACCCACCCCCAAACAAAACAAAACAAAAAACCGCAACCCCCCCAAAACCCAACCAAACAAAAATACCCCAATAATAATAACAATAATAAAAAATCCTATTAGAAATTATAAGGAAGCACTGAGAGTTTGAGTATTACATTCTTCAAGTATGTTGTTGGGATTTTTTATTTTTAAGTTGGTAACTATATACACACACACACACATATATATATAAAAAACAAACCTTAAAAGTGCGGCCAAGGGATTTTGCTTAAAGTTAGGATTAAGGGCTTCACAATACTGAACAGGACTGCACAATCATCCTGTGGGCTTGATGTTCTTGCTTCCAATCCTGGCAGAGTTAAGGAAGGTGCAGGTTCAGAAGTGATCATACTTCAGGGTTAGCATGAGAAAGCCTGGGAGATGTTCTTCCATGGCAGGGAAAATCCACCCTGGATCTAAAATTCCAACCTGGAATGTGGTGGGACTTCACAGTAGAATTAGTCTAGAGGAGGAGAGGAGCCCATGCAGGGCAGGTGTTGGGCCTGGTCAGGTTTTAGCATCTGTTTAGTGGGTTTAGTGCAGTCCTCCAAGCCTCAATTCAGAATGCCCTTCGGTGTTGCAGATTGTTGGTTCATGTTAAAGGACTGTTTCAGATTTGCATCCCAAGGAAAATCATGCTACATAAAAATGATCCAAGATTTTGCCCAAAAAACTTCTTGGATAAAATCTAAAAAATACTATTGCAATTTCGTCTCTTGAAGAAAAAAACATTATTCTAAATGTAAACAGATTCACTCAACTCTCTTGTAGAAAACTTCAGAGTGGGTAATGCTGCTGTCTAGCTCTCTTGGCATGCACTCGCCAGACGGTGAGGAGCACTGCTTTCTGCATCAGCATCATCTGGGGGGTGAGAAGAGTCGGTCCACATAGCTGAAGAGTGCGTCCCAGTGCTTCCAGAGAAAGGCAATGAAAGCCACAAGGAATAAAGTGCTGAACGTCCTGTTGCGTGTCTTCATGAGGGGGACCACACAGTTGGCTACTGTGGACACAAAGACCAAGAGAACTGCCATGACGGCCAGGAGGATGTTGATGAGTTTGCCCAGAAGGTTTCGGGCAGTGGCGTTCTCCAGCCCTTCCAGCTGCACCACCTGCTGCTGCTGCTGCTGCAGCTCCATCTTGGAGATGCGGGTCTGACAGGCCTCCAGGGCCTCCTGTGGGCCAAACACAGGATAGTTAGGCTTCTGTTCTCACAACTCTAGAGCTGACACGGCCTGGGAGAGCCAGATGCATCCTCAGCCATGCCAAGGATTGTAATAGCCAGAGCCTTGACTACTTCCAGGTGGCATTACTCCCATGCCCTCCACTGTATTACTTGCAGAATAGCTACAGGAACAGTGGACATACTTTGACTTATTTTGCCTAGAATTTACTTATTTCTTTATTTTATTTATGACAAGATTCTCTTGTATCTCAGACTGGCCTCACACTTGCTATGTAGCTGAGATAACCTTGAACTACTGATCTTTTTTTTGCCTCAACCTCCTGAGTGCTGAGATCAAAGGCATGTGCCATCATTCCTGAATGGCCTAGCCTCAGTTATATGGTTTTTATTCTTTTAGAAATTATGAGTCTAAGCCAGGCGGTGGTGTCGCACACCTTTAATCCCAGCACTCGGGAGGCAGAGGCAGGCAGATCTCTGTGAGTGCGAGACCAGCCTGGTCTACAAGAGCTAGTTCCAGGACAGCCTCTAAAGCCACAGAGAAACCCTGTCTCGAAAAACCAAAAAAAAAAAAAAAAAAAAAAAAAAAAAAAAAAAAAGAAATTATGAGTCTAAGGTACACAAGACACAACATGTACTTGTTATGTACTTGTTTTACTTAAACACAGTCTCTCACTATTCTTCTCAGTTCTAGTCTCTGTTGCTGTGGTAACACTGTCATACTAGTATGTTTATCCTTTACCGGCACTTAAGTATACATATGTCTGTGCCTAGCATGGGGTTATTACAGCCATTTCCTACTATAAAGTGCATAGCATTCTACTGGAATTGATCCATAACTTACTTTTTGCTTAGTAGTGGGTCTTGATGATTGTGCTATGTCAAAATACAGGGATCTTGCTGGGTGGTGGTGGTGGTGGTGGTGGTGGCAGTGGTGCACGCCTTTAATCCCAGCATTTGGGAGGCAGAGTCAGGTGGATCACTATGAGTTTAAGACCAGCCTGGTCTACAAGAGCTAGTTTCAGGACAGCCTCCAAAGTTACACAGAGAAATCATGTCTTGAAAAACAAAAACAGACCACAGGGCTCTACCTCATTTTTGTGTGTATAGACATGTGCATGGACATGTGTGCATGTTCACATGAAGGTCAGAAGACAAATGAGGTGCTGGTCCTCAGGTATTCTCCCCGCTTTTGTATTACATACTATGATGACACTACAGAGGGCATTAAAGTGACCTACTTCCCCTAAGGCCAAGCCTTATGTAAACTGCACCCTACCATTCAAGAAAACAAGCTTCATCCCCTAGGAAGGACAGACATCCTCCCAAGGCAACCAGTGGTTGGAACCCTGGGATTTACCAGCCTTGTCTTCAATGGGTTCTGTCTTCCTGGGATGTAAGGTAAGACTCAGACAATGTCAGGCTGAAGCTAGCTCAAGAATGAATAATGGATGCTGCTCACTACATTGGGATGAAAAAATAAAAATGTCAACAGAATTTGAGGGCCTAAAGATGGCAGCTGGGCAAAGAGTCAAGATAGTGCCTTGATTCCCTGGGTAGCTGTACTAAGCTCCGCCTCTCCACATGAACTTCTTCCAAGTGGCTTTCGCAAAAAACACTATGACCTCAGAAAATCTCCACAGGAACAGAGAAACCTCAATGTTTCACTTCTTCATGGAAACAAGGGAGTGTTTATCTTTAACTTCACTGCTGGGATTTCTCACAAACCCACAAACAATGGAGGATTTTTACAAACCGTGTAATGTGCCACCTGTTAAGAGAGCAGGGACAAAAGCCCTTTTCCATAGAAACAGAACATAGGCAAGATGGCCAGAAGCCCCACCTGAGCAGCTCCAGGGCAGATGAGATGCTCTAGTTTTTCCCAGACTGAGATGGCCCCGTCCTAAGACATTTTCCAATACTAGAGCTGTACTTCCCTGAATGGTATGAATTTGTATTGAAGGCAGATGTGTTGCAAATGATAAGAGCTTTTCTTGATTCTCTACTCTCATGTCTTTCCCCATTCTCTTCCTTTCTTCTTTCTTTTTTATTGTTCATACTAACCTGGATGTCCCGGGCCCGTTCATAGGACTGATAGGCAATTTTCTCTTCCATGCTGGCCAACTCCTGCTTTAAGTTCAGGATCTCATTCTGGTGGAGCTCTGTTAGGTCGTTCAGTTGCTCTTCTAGTCGTTCACATCTAAGAAAGGGAGAAAGGTTGGAGTTTCAAACATTTCACATCCTCCCTGATATAGTTTAGATCAATTCTCAAATCTATTCTACAAAATAAAACAAAAACACAGAGCTAGAGCAAGCCTGGGATACTGTGTGCCAACGGTTGCAGCTTTCAGTCTCCAAAAAGGCAGCTGTCACAAAGCTATCCTACAGCATCATGGCTTTTCCAGTTTTCTCCATAGTCCTGGTTAGCTTTGCACACCTATGATGCTGAAGCAGCTCTTACTCTGTTTTGAGTATGGGAGAAGCAAAAACTAATTAAACAAATCTCATCAGGAGAGAAAGAACACTAACGGAAATGGACCTTATAGCTCTCAGTGACTTATTTCAACACCAGTTGAACAATAACTTACTCACCTGGATATTTGTGATTTGGAGGCCCAGAAAGCCAGAGCCAGAGGGATCTATCATCCTCATGGCCAAGCAGTGCTTGGGACATTTATCAGTAGATACTTACTGAGAGTCTGCTGCATGCTAGGCATGTTCAAAGTATGGGGACACTGTAGTAAGCAAGAGAAAGCACCTGCCTTCCATGTATTCACAGAGACAAGGGAGACAGAAAAATGAAGTCAAGACTGGCAGGTAGCCAAACATATGGCAGTGTCTAGTGACACTGGAGGATCAGGAAGACTCTTCAACTCTCTTCCAGAATGAGAGATAAAACTTGAAGGATAAAAACAGAGGCTTGGAAGGTGAGGAGGTTGAAGATGTGCAAAGAAGGACCTTACTCAGAAGGAACAGAAGTACACACAGAATGAGGTTGGCATGTAAGGGCTGGAGCAGGCCAGAGAAACTACAAGAATAGAGAAATGTTCCTGGAAGGCTACATTTATTTACCTTGTATTTCTAGCATTTAGGAGTACTCATGCGTGTTGCACTCCCCTCCCACACATGTTTATACTACATAAAGTTTCAAGGGAGATCATCAGAAATTCTAGGTAGAAAAAAAAAACCACTCAGAAATAAATATATAGAATACCTGGATTCTGGGATAGTTGGGGAAGGGACCCAAAGAGGACCGTGGTTAAGGAAATGAGGTGTTATCTGGTAGTAGTGAAGACGACAGATGAAACAGGCAGTGTGTGGAGTCCTAGGAACCAAAGGGCTTCCAGGAGAAAGGCCAAAGCCAACAAATTAAAAACACTGAGACAGGGCAAAGGAAGAAAGAGGAACCACCTCTAGCTCCTGCCAAACAGAATGAAGTCTTGTGTTAGAGGGCAGTTGGGCAGAGCTCATGCCACAGGGAAAACCACATGTGAAACTCAGGACTTGTACCTAAAAATGAAAGGAAAGCTGGGAGCAAGGTACAGTGCAGTCCCTAGAATCCCAGGTGCTAAAGAAGCTGCTGAGACAAGAGGGGGGTAAGTTTGAGGCTAGTCTAAAACCCAACCAACCAACTAACCAACCAACCAACCAACCAACCAACCAACCAACCAACCAACCAACCAACCAACCAACCAATGTGCTAGAGTACCATTAAATATTTAGAATTCTTCCCTTCTTTCCTCTTGTGCTTTTCTTTCTTTTCCCAGCCTCCCTCCTCTTTCTTCTTTTGGTTATAAAGGGGATGGAAGCTGTCACTCTGCAAGCCAAGCAAGGCCTCTACTACTGAGCTACAGCTACAACTTGACTCTTATTTCTAATCACACCTATGGTGCACAAACTTTTTCTTTTTAGCCCAGGATGGTCTTGAACTTGTTATCCTCTTGCCTCTATGAATTCTAGGATTACTGGCATCTATCACCATACCTGGCTAAGAATAACCACTTTTGAGGAACACAAGAATTTCTCTAAGGTAATTTTATGTTGCGGCATCTGTGTTTCCCTTGTGTCTCTGTGCATCTTTGTGTGTGTGCACTCGTATGTGTGTATTGTCTGTATGTATGCAAGTGGTTCATAAGCAAACGCATGGATGCCAGAGGAGGACCTTGGGTGTCCCACTCTATTCCTCTCTGTTTTTTTCCCTTAACATGGGAGTTTCTCACTGAACTGGAACACACTGTTTCAGCTAGATGCCTGGACATTAAGCCCCTGGGATTCTTCTGTTTCTGTTTCCAATAGAGCTTGGGTGACAGACATCCATGCAGCCACACTTTTTTCGACAGGGTTTCACTGTACAGTTCTGGCTGGCCTGTAGCCCATAGAGTCCCTGAGTACTGGGTCTAAAAGCATGCACCTCAATGCCTAGCCTCATTCCTGTCTTTTTGACTTCAGTGTTGAGGGTGCAAACTCAGTTCCTCACGCTTGCACAATGAGTGCTCTTAGAATCATCACCCCATCCTCCATTGTTATCCCTTTTAATAGTCATATAATAAACAATGTTTATATTCAATTTAATTTTATTCCTTAAGAAATAAAAATTAATTTAAGGAGTCATAGTCTGACCCTTTTCATTATGTTATTAAGTCCTATTTAGGTCTCCTTTACCCATCTCTGTTGTGCTTTCCTTCATGCTGTTACAGAATAGCACCCCCATGCTCTGTTATATATAACTAAAATTGGTATTGTGGGACTCCGACTTTTCATATCATCTGCTACCCAGGGACTCAGGAATGGATGGTCAGCTATGAAAGTGATTTTCTGCTAAAATTTAAATTCATCAGATAATGAAAGATTGTATTAATATACTATCTTTTTTATTTTTAGTTATAAAACCTTTATTAATTTTAGCAAGAATAATGCATGTTCATTTTAGGAATATGGCAAATACAAATAAGAAGAAAAATCATTCATCTTTCACAAGTTTATATGTGCATTTGTGTAACATACAAAGGTACTCTTGTCTTTCAAATATGATATCCTCATATTATTTGTAACCTTTCCTCATTTTGTATTCCATCAGAAGCTTATTTTTTTTTAACAAATCAGTAAAGCTTTCTCATTCAAAGCCAGAGACTTATAGATTGATTCAAATATAATCAACAGTAAGATGCAGACAAGAAGAGATACATCATCTAAAACCACTAACAGCAACAGATTCAACGTAGGGAGATGGGCAAAGGTATATCAGAAAGTTGCTAATAAAAAGAAAGCTATATTGCAGTGGCAATACCAGATAAAACAGAAACCAAGTCAAGTTACACTAAATAGGGATAAAGATGGTTTCGATTAGCCTTCCAATGCATCACTATAGGTTTGTTTCTCACTCTCCTTATCTCATCTACTTCATCCATATCTCTAAACATGTCTTCACTGCTCAAATGCCTGTTATGTATATCCTCTTTAAAATCCTGAAGAGACTGAATCAGCCTCTCCCTAAAAGTTTCTTCTAATTTTTTCCTCCTCTCCTGGTTCTTCCCCCTCCTCTGGCTTTTCCTCGGGCTTTGGTTCATCATTTTTTGGGTTTCCTTCCATTTTTTGGCAGGGTTTCATCTTGTGTGTGCTTCTTTTCCTTCTTTGCTTCTTCCTGCTTATTCATGAATGCAATTATTTCAGGTACTGATCTGGTCAGTTTCTTTCTCCCACTTATTTTAGCCTGGAGCGGTACAAAGAACCAACCTGGAGAATTCAAGCAAGCTGTCTCCTGCTGGCCTGTTATACCGCTGCTGGCAAGGCTGAAGGAAGCTGGTACCCAGATGGAAACAAGGACCAGCCTACTTAATATACTATCTTTTAAAACTCATTTTTAGTGGTGGTGGTAGGGGTGTGCTAGAACCCAGGGCCTTGCACATACTATGTGAGTGTGTGACTTTCTTCATTGTCTTTGTTTGCCAGGAGGGTGTTGAAACTTAAAACTGGAATTCCTAACTGCCAGTCTTGCAGCGGTAAAGCTCAGTGGTATGGTGTGCTGGTAGGCTCTGGTCAGTAACTGGGACTGGGCAGTGAGCAGGGTGGTGGTGTCTAGCAGGGTGCATGGTGACAGGGCTACACCACACCCTCTTGGCCCACAGCCTGTACACACCCCGGAGTTTAAAGACTGCTGGAAGCTGGGTGTAGTGAGTCATGCCTTTAATCCCAGCACTTGGGAGTTAGAGCCAGGAGATCACCGAGAGTTCAAGGCCAGCCTGGTCTACATTTTAAAACTCTATACTGTCATGCCATTTTGAAACTAGTCAAGAAGCCAAACCAGTTCCCTTAAAAAGTAAAAAATCTGAGTTGGTCTGACAACTGTTCAAGTCATACAGCCTCCGTGACTCTGTTGACATGATGGTTAAAACTTGACCAGGAGAAGATGGCTGAATAAAAGTCTAGGCAGATTCAGATTAAAAAGATAAAATCGGGCTGGAGAGATGGCTCAGAGGTTAAGAGCACTGACTACTCTTTCAGAGGACGTTAAGTTCAATTCCCAGCAACCACACAGTGGCTCACAACCATCTGTAATGAGATCTGGCACCCTTTTCTGGCCTGCAGGGATGCATGCAGACAGAATACTGTATACACAATAAATAAATAAATCTTTAAAAAAAAAAGATAAAACCAAGTGTCAGTAAGGATATGAAACTGGTAGAACCATTCTGTTCTGTTGGTGAGAACTTAAAAAAAGTTAAATAACTAATTCTCATAAGGCCTATAATACCACTCCAGGTCCACAGAGCAGAGAAATGAAACTTCTTTGTATACAAGACCAGTCCATGCATCAGTGTCCTAGAAATTCCTAGATTCTGTATCCTTATGTGCTTGCAACTTGCTGTTCAGTTTAGTGTTTCCCCCTTCACTTGCTGCTCACGGAATATCAGGATATGAAACAGAAATGTAAAACTACCTGTACTCAATTCCCAAACTCTAGCAAATAGGCCGACTTTTGCCTTCATTCTCCTAATGTGGCTACTATAGACTGTTCACTGGGGCAGAAAGTGCACATGATCTTTTCTTCCTTTTTTCATCCAACTTTCTTTTTTAATTTTTCGAGACAGGGTTTCTCTGGGTAATAGCCCCAGCTGTCCTGGAATTCACTCTGTAGACCAGACTGGGTTCTAATTCACAGACAGTGCTGGGATTAAAGGCATGCACCACCACCGCCTGGCA